TTCATTTAGTAAAAAATCATGAAAATGTAATGATAGGTTCCTTATAATTTTCATTAATGGAAGTTTTAAAAATACATAGGCTCAATTATTTGTTATATGATTATAAAGTTCCAATTTTGACAAAATTCATAAAAGTTTTTTTTTTCATACCTAACTTAAGACATTTTAATAGAAGGTTTCCAACAAGTTTTTGTAATTCTATCAAACTAAAAAAGTTCCCCAGAAAGTCAAGTTTTCGATCTTTGTTAATTTTTTTTTAGCTACTAAATTTGATTATTTTTACAAGTGTGCTAGGCTGATACAATGTCTCCGCTCAGAATATTTTTTCGTTTACAATAATTTATCAATGTAATTTAAATATAACACATCCATTACAACGACATGCTTGACACCCACTGTACAGCAGAGCGGTACCCACTTGTCCTGCACCTTTTTTCATATTGTATTAGGTGCCTACTATATTTATGGACATATTAATTTATTAATTTATCAATATTATTATATTAAGTATAAATATATTAAGTGTTTTGTTATTAATTAATTTACTTATTCATATTATTGTAAGTACAAAGTACTATATTTTTAAGTATATTTGCGCGTAGCCCCCTTATACCTAGGTAGGTACATATCATAATTCATAATATTAAATATTTAAATAAATGCAACTGCCAACTAACGATAATGACATTTTAGGCCCCACAAATTTACTCTGCCCCGGGCCCCGCAAATCGTCCGGACGGTCCTGTGACTATAGTGTAATTATTTAATATTTATTCATTTACACATTTCTACATTTTGTAATGTATGAAACTCTTGCTTCCACAAATCGCATCAAATTACGACTACATTGATTTCAATAATACGGCATAGGTTTTACTTTTTTACATCTGCACCACGAGTATAATTATAATATATATATACTTAATATATCTATATATTATATATCTTAATTCGTGATCTGCACTGCAGCCATTTATATTTTATATAGGTAGTGTAAGTTGCCCGGCCGTTCGAGTTGTGTAAGGAAGGGGGAGGGGGGTCAACGGAACTATTTTAAAAAGTCTAATGACCTCCTGAAAAATTCATGATAAACTCAATAACTTATTATTTAAAAAAAAATGTATCAGTCAGGCACCAACAGCTTATCAGTGTAGTAACTCGAAAACAGGATAATTACTAATTACTAATTACTAATTATTAATTAGTATACAGAAACCGCCGGAAACGCCATCATACTCCATTTATTACAAGGTTCATGAATAATAATATTTTAATATAATTCATTATCTATAAACCTTAAGTTTATTAGACATTAGTATATACTATTATTATGGTCTATGGTAGAACCCAACGTTTAAACTGTTTGTAAATGATTATTAAGGCGGGTTTTCACTATACACGGATACGAGTACGTGCATACAAATCATTTGCTGTGATTGGTTGTTCACGATCAGTTACCTCACGGTTAACCATGATACCGTGTTGTTGGACATAGCTGAACATTTTTTATGTACACGGTAAACGTGTATAGTGGAAACCCGCCTTTATTGGGTGGGACCAGCCTGGGTTTAGTTTTGAGAACGCATTGAGAAAGTAACAATGAACTGCGGACGTGTCAGTTCACAACACTCAAGGTGTTTAGATAACAGTATTATCTATAAACCTTGCAACAATACTGTCAGCCACGGCCTTAGACTAGTCAGTTTGCTGTCAGCAAATACTATAGATTAGCTGCCAGTGAAACGAAAAAAATGGCCTAATGGGTGGGAGGGTGGTGGCGGCGGCGGTCGGTTTTTGTCGACCCATTACTCAGTCGGCTGAGATCGGTCGTCGGCGATTTTCGGCCCACTGTGACTGTGGGCCTTGGCATGTTGGGCCGTATCCACCAGAAATCATTTATCGGACTCGTGTAATATTGTGAGTTTTGAAAGACAAAAAACGAGATTTTCGTTACTTCAAGAAATGTTTTCCTTAGTTATCTGTGTGGTTGGCAATAACAAAAAGACGCTGTTGTGTCGACTACTACAGCCTACAGTACTAGCGTCTAGCACAGTAGCACAGAATAATTTATTCAGTATTACTACACACTTCGCCCGATCGGAGCGTATCCCCACCATAGATATTAAACATATGGATGCGGTATTGTGTCTATCTACAGTATGCAGAACTTGAAGAGAACATAACTGAGAGAGAAACGACGTTTCAGCGATTCTTTCTCACCGTACGGGAAAGAAGCGTCGTTTTTCTCTCCGTTATGTTGGCTTCACTGTGCCGCATCCATATTGTTTAATATTTATTGTCCTCACCCAATACCGCGGCCATAAACTCCTAAAAACGCGGGATCATCGTCTGTTTGAATTTACATACTTGCAATCGGTATGCCGTGTGCGTGCATAGATATTAAATGAATGGTCAATGGATATAATCGTAAGCCGGGGTCACTTGTGGCCTGTGGCGGTGGGTGGGAGAATTCACTCCTCCCCGAAAATTAGTTTGAGTACGCCGAGTACGGGCGATTGTAAACTCCACCGATTTACAGGTAGTCGATTTTAGGGTTGGATTTGTAACATGTAAATTCCACCGATACATTTTTTTTACCTGAAAAAAAATGTAAACTCCACCGATACGTATTTTTGACCTGAAAACACGTAAACTCCACCTATGGTAAAATCCACTAATTAAAACTATATGTATAGTGTATACACATCAACTTTCGACTGACTTATCTTAAACTTCATCTTAACGACCGCAGATAAAATCATATCGCGATATCGCGAAACGAATACATTCGATAAAATATTTTCGAAGACACATTTTAGTGCGTCCGTTGATTTCAAAATGAACACATTAAGTGAATTAACCAGTGAACGTGGAAATATGTTGCTTTGTTTGAATAATTTTAAATATTACAAACAATAACAATAATAATTATTATTTATAATTATAATTTTTCTATTTTTTTCTATTTGATTTTTATATGATTTTTTTTTAAAATTATTGTTAATTATTATTAATAATTATAGACTTTTCTATTTTTTTCTAATTGATTTTTATATAATTTTTTTTTTAAATTATTGTTAATTATTATTTATAATTATAGACTTTTCTATTTTTTTCTAATTGATTTTTATATGATTTTTTTTTTTTAAATCATTGTATTTAAATACATAAATATATTATAATAAAACTGCACCCACATAAATTATGTAATCTTAGTTAATCAAATTGGATTTGGATTACAATTTAAAAAAAAAAACGTACCAGTGGAGTTTACATTTTTTTTTCAGGTAAAAAAAATGTACCGGTGGAGTTTACATTTTTTTTTCAGGTAAAAAAAACGTACCGGTGGAGTTTACATGAAAAAAGGTCTAAAAAGGTCGCAATCGGTGGAGTTTACATGCGCCCCCGAGTACTACGTTTGACTTTGATATATATATACAGCAACTAAACAGTCGTTTGGTTCTGTTATTAATTTGTTTAAATCAACTACTGGCAATCAGGCAATATTTACTCATAGATATATTACAGTGGTGGACTATGGAAAAATATCACCCCAGGAAATATTTAGTGATTTTTTTACGGATGCATATTTTGAAGTTGTATAGAACATATAGCCCCCAGATTAGAAATTAGGTACTGAACAAAATAACTTATCATATTTTGTTTTAATCACATTATAGATTATGGTACATTGCAACACTAAGAAACATAATATATAAGTAATAATTACAAAGTAATCATAGCTACCTACAATAATTAAATAAACACTAATAATAAAATATATTTATTTAATACACCACTTTTTTATGGAAAGTTTAAAACTTATCGACACCTCCAATGAAGAAGGACGTAACTCAATTTTTTCATTTTTGTTTTATTGCAAACAAGGACATATCTTTCGTTATCTACGTAACTTTGAATATAAATTACTAGCCGGTAACGAAAACAGTAGTAACTTAAGATACGTCCTCATCAAAACCATATATTTCCCACGAAAAAGACTTCAATTACGTCATTATAGTTTCTAATATAATAGAACGTAACTTGAAGACTTAGATCAACAAAAGATAATTTGGAAAAACAAAAAAAATTAGCTCGCGTTAAGAATGTAAATCAACAAAAAAAAAATGTATAAAACATTATAATCAGAATAAGAATTTAATTCTGATAACTTCAAATAGCTACACTGGAAAGTTGTCAAAATTGATTTACGCCTTATTCGTAGGGGGTGTTGTTAAGTAATTATTACAAAATAGCCTTTACAGTTTATTCACAATCAAAAAATAAAGATAATAATAATTGTTTTAATTTCAAACCGAAACCTATTTGGCGATTTTCGTTATAATGGTGAATCATAACAACAACGAGATATAAATTGAGCGTTCGTGCAATTGTGCCAAATTCGCTAACTACTTTAGTTATGATATTATGAAGTTATTATTAATTATGACTTATGCTGACTGATAGCTTAAGACATTTAGGGTGGGTTGCATAAAGGTTGATTAGCTATTTACAGAGCCGTTAGTGTACGAATAGTAGATTGGAGGTGTATTTATTAATCTAAACACTAAAGTTATAATATTATATTGCTATAACATTTGTTATGACTTGTACACTAAATAAAAAGAATACACTGATGGTCTGTTAAAAAAAAATTGAGATGACTTGAAGCTTGAACTCTTGTTAACGGGTCTGTAATTTATCGGTACTCAGGTACTAAAGTACTAAACTAGTAACTACTAACTACCAAAGTAAAGGTCCGATTTTGGTTCTGTAACTTTTAAAGATCCCGAGGTGGATTGATATCAATCCACCTGGACAGATTTGCCAATACGGTGATAAGGAATATAATTTCTTATCAGCCATCCTCTTTTGTTATTAAAATTACGATTAAAATATAAAACATAATTATTAAATACACATTCAAAGAATTTAGAATACCCTGTTTCACTTTTTACCACCACACTCATAAAATATTTCATCATCTGATTCAACGAATGATGAATGATTTTTCATTAAAGTGCTTCAGGTGTCACCGAGACCACATTATTTTCGTGATGGATCCAATCCATTTACAGAAGACAGATTTTAAACAGAGATTCAGGCAGGTACTTATAAAATATTAGATTTGACTATTTTCACACAATATTATATTATTATAAATAGTAATGCCTGCATTTGGTCTAAACATGGTTAAATACAAATAATGGTTTCTGTTTTCAGGAACTTTGTGCCTACTTAAGTAATTATTTGGTACCATGTATATCAGGTTGTCTAGAAACATTTTTATTGGTTTACTGAATATGGTTCAAGATAGTTTATGCCAAACTACACACCACAATATGTCATTGTCATCAATATTGCAGCTTTTGATTGAACTTAGATATTATACAACTGGTGCTTTTCAGGTGAATATTTTTGATTATTATTCATGTCTATTAGAGCATTTTAATATATTATACTTACCTATGTATGTCAAATTTTAGTCAGTTCTGGGATACCATATACAAATCCATAAATCACGTCACATGTACCGTATCATAAAAAGACTATCAACAGGTATAGCATCACTAAAACCAAACTATATTCAAATGGAAAAAACAGGAACTGACAGAAATTTTATCCATGAAGATTTTTATATAACGTTCCAATTTTTAAGTCATAGGAGCAATAGATTGGACATCAGAATATAATATCCCAATAAGAATATTTGATAAAGATTTCACAATAAAGAAGGCTATTTTTCAATCAATGTTCAAGCTATATGCAACAGTAATTTGCTGCTTACAAATATTGTGGCTCGGTTAGAGGTAATTTGAAGCAAAATACTTCACCTATTAATTATTATAAATTCACTTTATACTGATATTATATTATAGAAACATTATTAGATGGCCTGGTTCAGTTCATGACTCAACAATATTTGATAACTCTTTATTATAAGAGCACAATTTCAGAATAATGAATTTTGAGATGCTGTAATTGTAGGAGATGGAGGTTATGCACGTCGTTATTAATTTATGACACTCCTTTCCAACTTTATTACTGAAACAGAAGTATGATATCAGGTAAGAAGGCAATTAAATGATTTCATAACACAACCACAATATGTGTTGTTCTGTAAAAAGTAATAAGATATTATAAGATTTTTAAAAAGCACAAATTGGTACAAGAAATGTAATCTATTGGAATACAAACTTAAATCAAACTACTCTTATTACTATTATAGCTACAGCAGTATTGCATAATATGCTTATAAAATTAAATAACCAGTAGACAAAAATATCTTAGTTGATACTAACAATTGTATAATAAATACAATGGCAATATCCACTTAATACTGATGCAGTTTTCTTTGATTGAGTTACTGATTAGAGTTCTTAATATTTCATACCTATATAATTGTCCTCAAAGAAGATATTTTTAGTTGTTTTTAACACTGCCTGTAGCTGTATTTTGTTGATTTTTATTTAATGAGTATTTTGCTTCATTGTTTTTTATCTACTACTTCTAAAGTGGCTATTAAATGATGTGAACTTTTTATTATTATTCTAACTCATGAATTACAGAAAAAGGTTAAAATGTCTTCTACTAATGTCCCTTTGTCAACACAACCTACACTTCAATGTCTGCGAATTTGCATCGAAAATAAAAAGGATAATTTGATGGTGTTTTACAATATTTTTTTAAGATGAAATCGACTTTACGCCTCTAAAAATTGAGTTTTAGACAATCTTGAAAATTAGTGTAAGTTAATACATCAAATATGGAAATTAAATATGTTGTTATAACTGAGTTTATATATTCTTTTTAGGTCCATCAAGATGACTTGTTGCCAAAATAAATTTGCTAATTATGTTATAACAAACTTTTTGAATAGAATATTATGTCATCTCAAGAACGCTCTTCCACAGCATATTCAAAAAATGATGGCAGAAAATAACGTAAGAATGTTATTTATTTTTATACTAAGTGTGTTGACCATACAAGGCTTAATTAAAAATAATATAATATATAGTTTTTACGTTATTGGGTATTTAATATTATACCATCTTAATGTTAAACCTTTTTATTTTTATTATTAGGTTGATGATTTTAATGTTCTAAAAGAATTAAAAAATGCCCTAACAATTCTAAATAGTGCACTAAATTATTTTTATTTTTAATATTCAAGATATAAATTCTAATATACATTTTAAACTTTTAAATGATTGTATAAAAGATTTATAGACAGAACTTATCATATGAACTACTTATTTAATTTGAAAATTAAATTTTTTTTATCTGTATAGGTTTAGACTTTAGATCATATATTCAATATAAAAAACATGTGTAAATTTAAATTTAAATTTAGAAAGACTTCAAAGTGCTCTAAAATCTTAAAATGCAAAAAATTACCTTAAAATTTAAAATTGTCAAAAAATTCAATGTAGGTATATTATGAAACGAGTATTGCGTACATTTGGAAAAAATGCAAAGTGCATTATAATCCACACCTTTTTTTTTTTTTACAGAGTGATTTTTATATTACACTCGATTAAGAGTCAGAACTAATAATGTTACTTTTATAGATTATGAGATGTAGTGGTGGGACAAAGTGCAAAACGTACTGCAGTTAGTACCTAACCAATTTTTTGTTTTTTTGATAAAAAAATTAAATGTTCATAGATGGCATACCTACAATAGTTACAACTTTTCAAGTTTGTGGTATCAAAGACTGAATAAGTTAAAAATATTTAATTTTATAAATTACCTAAAATTATAAAATGAACGGTAACATTATATTTATTAAAAAATAATATATTTGATAATTTAAAATTACATAACAATTAGTTAAAATTAATGCTGTAAGATTAAGTTTTAACTAATTATGTACGTATATTTCATAAATATTTTTACATTCCTTGTCCATATGAAAGAAAACATGTCACAAAAATACTATATAACTAATAGGATAGTGAGACAAAAAATGTAAAAAGAAAAATATTTTTCCCTCCCCTTGACAAATTCCTGCAGACGCCCTTGCTTTCATTTGGAAGTATTAGATCAAAACTACTAACATTACCTACTTTATACTTACATTATTAACACTAGTTACTAAATATTTATAAAATATGTGGTTATAATTATATAATAATTATATGATATAAATGTAAACATTATTATGGCAGTTTTTTCAAAACAAAAATAAATGTTAACACTGAATAATATAATGCATATAGTAAATTTCCAATTTTTATTAGTTTGCTTGTATGAACTAATATTATCATTCACAACATCATTAATTATCACAATTAATAAAATAAAATGTATAATTCATGTTTAAAGTATAAATAATATAATATTAACCATTACTCAAAATATGTATTAACTATTAATGTATGAATGTGTAAAATGACTCAAATGTATGATGAATGTAAATATTGAGTAAAAATAATGGTATATTAAAAAAAAAAAAACACGTACTCATATACCTATTATGTATGTATCTAATTTTAAAATGTTACTAACTCTAATTAAATATATCTCTTTACTACTCGTGTAGATTAAATTCATAAAATTGATGACCATTTTAATGTTACAACTAAAAAATAAACTATACTTTTTTAATGCATTTTCTTCAAACCAGGAACTGCATACTACTGCATACTACACTACTGCATAGTACACAAAAAAATTTAACTTCATCACCAATGAACAAATAACAAGAGACTGAGCAAAATAAAAAAAATAGGTAAACGTTATAGTAAATATTTGTTGTTGAACAAAGAACTAATAAGTATTAGACATCTTTATAAAAAAATAAAAATGCAAATAATATGCATAAAAAATTGTGTCATGTATGCATTATGAATACTAACTTTTTTGTCACATTTCAAAATTCATTTTTACTTAATAACATGATAAACAAATAAAGTTCTCAAATCTCATATTAAATAAAAAAAAAACATAAACTTAAAATAAAATTGTAGAGTGTATTGTAGTTGTGTGTCGTATGATATACGATTACAGTATTTATATTTTATTATTATGATGTACTTAATTATATTTATATGTCTTAGAAACGTATGTCACATGCATGCTGTTAGAGATGGAGAATATTTTAAATAAAAAAAATATTGGTAAATTTACCAATAAAGTGGTTAAATAACAAAATATCTTAGAGCCATCTTTTAGATTCTGAGCGGCGCGATAAATTTATTGATTTGGCAATAATGTGTTTTTTATTAATTTTTAATTGTTATCTGTGTTTGTGTACGCGATAATAAGACCAAATAATACTTTGATTTTCTACTTCAGTATCTTTTCCTGTGAGAAATTGAAACTTGTTGGTACATTGGGGAGGTCAACATTTAAAATTCTAAGTAGCTTACAAAAGCGCCTGGAAAAAGAAAATAACAGGCATAGCCTCGTGGCTCATTAACGTTTAACAAGTGACGGGTCTCTCTTTTTTTTTTAAGTAAATAGAGTCCCCCTACTTTAATTTTGCCAATTCGAGCACTGCTTACTACGTAGTACGCACACATTTACATGCACACATATTGCCTATATTAAGCTCCTTAAAAACGTGTTACAAAAAAAAAGCATGTCAACCTATGAATCAAAGATAAACACAATAATAAAAAAGTATGAAGAAAACAATTATTATTAATTTTTATAGATTTATAAAATATTTGAATGAGAACGAAGCATTTTTGTGAATGTATAGACAATTTGACTTTTTAGGGTTTCCACAGGTTAGAAGTGTTACCTACCGGTGATTAATAATAATAATTTGATATCAATCATTTATCTTTCTTGATAATCAATTAATAAGTATATTTAAAATTTTTTTTATTGTTCTTTTTAGATTCTGAGTGGAGCGATAAATGTATTGATTTTACAATGATGTGTTTTTTTTGGGGGGTCGGGGGGGTCTGTCGTAACGGTTTGAGGTAGTAAAACTTCTTCAATTTTTTTCAATCCTAATTTGTGCGATGGGAAAGTGAATCTAGTTGGTGAATTTGGGCTGTCAAAATTTAATATTCCCAATAGTTTTCGAAAGCACCGGGAAAAACAACATTAACTTTAAGGAAAAACGGGAATTTTTACCCAAAGTCGGTACTTCTGCGTAACTTACCCACCTTTTTTTTTATTTGTTTTTCCTTGTTCTTTTTTGGTTGTTCTTTTTTCCATGGTCTTTTACCTATTACCAACACAAGCCCGGATAAGGAGCAATGGGCCTCTGGACACCATACACTTAGTTACTTCGAAAAAACTATATCACTACATTTTTACAACTGTATATTATGATTATATAATTTTGTACTATATTATACCTTGTATACAATCATAAATAACAATAATTATCATCCATGCGTACAATTTATGTTGTTCACAACTTCCATTTTATAAACTTCATAATATATAATATAATCATAATATAATATATTTATTATCATTTAGTAATAGTCTCCTCTGGACCCCTCCCTTAACCCGGGCTTGCGCTAACGGCACGAAAAAGATACTAAAATCTGATGCCAACTGATGAAATCCACTATATAGGTAATCTAGATTCTACAACTCGACTAATAAGTAATAGCATCTGTATTACTACCAATTATCACCTATCTATGTATAATTTCTGTTTTGATTCTGTTGAAATTATTCAATACTCAGTTTTATATCTATATTTATAAAATCCAAATACCACTCGCCCACTCATCACTACATCTCAAAAATTACAAAACATACGAACTTGAAATTTGTAATAGTAGTTCCTCTAATGCTCTAGATGTGCAATAAGAAAGGATTTTCCAATATTCGCATTTTAAATAGGTGGTCAAACCGTTTATAAATGGTTGACATTGGTTGCAGACAGGCACGCCGTTTAGGAGAGACCATATTGGCCATGCCTCCTCCCTAAATATCATATACTACCTATAAATAATGTATAGAAGTTC